CCAACTCTCTGTTGTCTGATACATTTCTTATAAAGGCTTCCCTGATCGCGTGAGAGCAGATCAAAGCAAGTTTGATGGTTACCAGAACAACGGATCTAATTAAACCATCATCAAAAGCGATGGCTCATCCTTCCAGTAAGGAGCGCCTGTGACCGTAAAAGCGGGCCAAAGCTTCCAGGTCAAGAGCACTCCTAATGCTTATTAAAGCATTCCTAAAGAGCACTCCTCGTCCCTTCTGCAAACCATCAAAGAGTGTCTAAATATTATAAGCAACACACACACACAAAGTATATGTTTGAAAACATAATACAAAATACAATCCCTAATATGTGAATAACACGTTGTATAAGTGTGTTTAAATAAGTGTAATATAGGTCTAGATTGACATAAAAGCATTAAAATAATAATTTCTATATCACTGTGAACTAAGTTTCCCCTCAGGGAAAAATTATGTTACCTTGAACTCTAAATTAAGAGTGTAACCCACTAGAACACAAATGCATTAAAAATAAATAAATAAAAAAAAAGCAATCAAGCAACTTCAACATTTTTGTAATGTTCAGCCAAAAGTTTATTTCAATGGTTTGGGTAAAAATAGGTTATGAAACTAAATGTTACAAAACACGAGTAGCTTGTGACCATTTTCAGATTGTGTCAGTAGCTCTCAAAGTAAAAAGGGTTGGAGACCCCTTGTAGGGATACAGCTTTTTCCAAAGCTTCCTGGTTTCTGGGAGGTGCCAATGAGCAGCAGCTGTGGAAGATCTCCTTGATGAGCTCTAGGGGCATAAAGGACTGAAGGAGAGCTTCCTTCTTTGCTGGAGCATTGCATAACGCTCGGTAATTGCTTGCAGACAAACTCTGTTAATGAGTAAACTTTCACTTACCTTGCTTTTTCCTCGTGCACCTAGTACGTGCCTCCTGAAGTCTCGTACCCTGGATCCTTCGTCTATCTCCTCATACCTGCAAAGGAATCTTGCTCACCCATAGCTGCTTAGCCACTGTTCCACCACCAACTCAACTACCTACCTCTGCCTGGAACCACTTACCCTCTTCTTCATACATCAAGGTCTCCACTACCCAGTAAGAGTTCACCCACCTGTAAATCTGCAAACATCCTTCTATGATCCTGGACTCACCCCGTTTCCTCCCTCCTCAGGTGTTCCAGGCTCCCTTGTAAATAAGATTGTTATATTTGAACTTACTGTAAATAAATACCCTCATCTATGGTCATGAGTTTTGGGTTGTGACCGAAAGAACAAGAATGCAGATACAAGCAGCCAAAATGAGTTTTCTCCGCAGTGAGTCTGAGCTCTTCCTTAGAGATAGGGTCAGAAGCTCGGTCATCTGGGAGGGACTCAATCAAGAGTAGAGCCGCTGCTTCTCCATGTTGAGAGGAGCCAGTTGAGGTGGCTTGGGCATCTGGTTAGGATGCCTCCTGGACGCCTCCTTGGTGAAGTGTTCCAGACATCCCACTGGGGAGAGACCCAGAGGAAGACCCAGGACACACTGGAGGGACTATATTTCTCGGCTGGCCTGGGAACACCTTGGGATTCCCCCGAGGAGCTGGCCCAAGTGGTTGGAGAGAGGGAAGTCTGGGCCTCCCTACTTGGGTTGCTAGCCTCGCAACCCGACCCAGGATAAGCGGAAGAAAATGGATGGCTGGATGGATGTAAATAAATCACTGTAAACTATATTTGAGTTGTGTCTGCTTTCCCTCAGTCTGGTTCTCAATTGGGTCGGACCCCCCAATCATGACACCCATGATGTAAACAGACAGTAGTATAGAGAAATACTCATATACGTAGAGAAATCTAACAAAAAAGGGGGTATGTGTCACAACACAAGGTTTTAAGATTTAAACTCAGCCAGACAACAAGAATGGTAAAACAAAGAAAACAGTTGTTGGTAGATTTGCAGCTGCTGGGGAGACTCAGGATCCAATTGTAGCAACGGGTCTTTGCAGGCAAGTCGGGTGAGAGCCACCTGTCAGAGTTTAAAGAGATGAACTGGTGGGAAGGCAGCTGCAGAAGGAGGCCTTTAATGCTATGAACAGTAGGGCAATGCAAGTTTGTGGTCCAAGGGCAAAGCAGGAGTCAAACACAGGGAGTCAGTGGTACAAGAGTAATCCAAAAAGGATGATCCATGAGTCGTGGTCATAGACAGAAGAGGAGGTCATTACCGTGATCAGAGAGGCAGAGCAGAACCAGATGAGGAGCAGGCAAAAGGGTAAATCCACAAGACAAGGTGTGAGGTCGAAAATCCAAATACAGGGCATGAACATCAAGCATGAACAAAAAGATGGCTGGATATAAGGGACCATGGAAGGTAAAATAATTTGGCAAAGGACAAGTGAAAGTAGAGCTCTTAAATAAGGCCAAGAACAGGTGCAGTGAATCAGGGCTGATGAGCTGAAAGTGCAGATGGGGGCGTGGCTTAATGACAGAAGAAAACATGACATGAAGAGGAAGGGAAAAACAGCATATGACAAAGAGGAGCAGAAACATGACATGAGGGGCTGTGAGTGAGGTAGAGGACAGAGGAAGTGATAAAGGCATAAAGGGGCAGAGACTTAAGCAGATGGGCAAGAAGAGATCGCTGATCATGACAGTTTGATGAGTAAAATGTAACACACGGTACAGAAGGTTCTGAGTGGGAAAAAATGTTCCAACATTAAAACAGAACAACTACAAAAGCTGGACAAAGAGAAATTGAAGGAAATCCATTTTCCAGGAGTCAGATTGTTGCTTTGATATAAAGAAATTGGGGTTTCTAAAGAGCAGAAAAGACGAGAACCAGAAGATTCCAACTGCTGCTTGTAGCCTTCCCTCCCTCATTTGCCCTCCATCGCTCCAGATAACGATGTCAGAGAGAACCAGACTCACGGGGGAAGAAGATCAAGAAAACTGTCGACTTAGTTCTGCAGGAGAGATGACTCTTGCGCGCACACAGACACACATATGCACAAGTCATGGCGTCACTGACGGCATCAGAAAGTCAAGGTGCTTCCACAGCATGTGGCCAAGGAAATTAGGTCAAAGGAGGCTCTGACACACAAACATGTTCAGGCATGCATGAAAAAAACATATTAGTTGTTATTCTCAGAACATTAGAAAAAAGGGTTGTTTAGGACGTTAAAAACAAAACAGAGGTTCACAGGAGTGAACTCTGGGGTAAAGCCTCAGAGAAGGAAGAGGCCTAAAACTACACATTTATAAGCCCTTCATCTTTGCTCCTCAGAGCCTCTTTAATAAATACCCCACCCTCTCCCCCCACCGGAAGAAAACCTTTCAGTCCCAGAGCATCAGTTAAACAGGCAAAGAACGCCTCAGTGTCAAGGATCTTTAACTGATCTTAAGTAGTCCATATTAAAGTCCCGTCTCCTTTGAGATATTGTAAAATGAGTACACCTGCTGTATGGAAGCTATGTCTAAACATAATTTCAACACACTTGAATTTCTTCTGTGTAAGAATGGAATAATAATGGTGGTATGGTATAATGGTATGATAAATTTCATTCTTTGTAAGTACTTCATTCACAGACGATGCAGATCAAGTGTGGGTAAGAAATCAAAGTATTGAAAATACTAAAATATAGCCTACTTTTGAGATTCCAACAAGAGGTTGCCTTGAAACACAGCAGTGAAGGCTACCTATGGCACAGATCTGGTTGGCAGGTCGTAGACTGGGGAAGTCCTCTGGATGGAGGACAAAACGTTTCTCACTTAAAGAAACTGGTCAGATTACATGGTTTTGCTCATCTGCTTACAAAGACTCATGCTCATGTTTGTGCTGCTGTTTGATGTAATGTTTTTATGCTATTAGTGCTTAGTGTATCTTTAGTTGATGTTTTTCTTAGTTCATATCTTAGATGTTATCATTGTTTTTCTTTGACATTTTTATTGTTGGATGTAACTAGGACCCTGTGTACATAATTTCGTTCTACCACATTTACCACATGTGGTGCAAACCACAATAAAGAATCTCTGGCTCTCTGACTCTGATGTTTTAACCTTTTTTGTTATTGAAAATACGGTTTTATATCTCAATGTTTAAGTTTGAGTTGCTCAAAGCGTTATTGTTTGAGTCATCACTTCACGGGGCCCGGACACCAAACAGATGATGGAGTGGTTTGGACATGGAGCATGTGTGTTCCAGTGTAAACAAGAACATGAGGCTCGGTTGGTTGACGTTGACCGACACGACAAAGAATGTGAAAAACCTGGAAAAATCAAAGTGCACACGAGTGTCTGATTTATTTCCTCTAAAGAGTCTGAGCTCTTGCACTGTTTTCAATAATGGTTTAAAATATCATCACCCTGAAAAGAAATTACCATAAAAAAAATTTTTTGTTTTTGCATGTTGACAAAAAACTGAAATCAAAAGAAAGTTATGCAATAAAAAATAAGATACCCACACATGTACATATACAAGGTGTGAGTGTGTGTATAAAATAAATAAAAACATGATGTATTCAAACATTTTGCTGAAGTTCTGGAGTTTAAATGATAATGAATGTGAGTGCATACAACCAAAAGGCTAAAACAAAACTACTGGTACAAGTAGTTGTATCCCAGCTTAGCTTGAGTCCTCTGAAGAAAATAAATTTTTAAAAAGTTGCATGTGTGTATTCTGTACCTCGCTCCGTGAGAGGAAGGGCACGGTGATCTTTGGTAACTTGCTGCTGGACTGGACCAGTTTCTCAAACAGACCTCTGATGTGGTAATGCCCCGGACCAGGAACTCCCTGATGGGAAATGTAGAACAAAAAACAAAGGTGAAATGCTGCTATTACAAGCTTCAGTAAAACTGCTGCAAGAGTTTTGTGGATGTTTCAATTAAAAGAAACAAGAAAGGTTCGAGGAGGTGAGAAGGGCATTGAGACAAGCAGAAAGGGCTGGAAGTTGCTCTGGCTTTGCTATATTGTGTACACTGAGATATAGAGAAAAAACCTGGGCATTTTGATTGTTCACTAAATGAAAAAAACACAGCAGAGAAAATAAGGCAATTGATGTAAAAAACTTGGAAACAGAAATAAGAGCAGGAAAAATAATCTATTTTATACACAAGTTATTTGGTTGATTCATTTTGTGAAAAAGAATGACTTGTGTAGTGACTGGAAGAAAAAGTGAGCATAATATGAACAAATTTTCATGTTTTCTCTCACAGTCAGTACAATCACACCTTGTAGCAACTCTACACTGCAGCATGGTTCCAGTGCAGGAGTTTAACAGGCTCAAGCTTGAGTGGTGATGACTATATTTGTAAATCAGTTTGCAGTTGTAATCCAAGCTTTGTCACAATGTGAAATAAATCTGCCTGAGAAATTAACTTTGTGAGTGAGCAAGAAGAATTGGTGTGAACGTAGAAAAGATTTGTGTTTGTACAAAGAGAAGTGGAGCTCCACGAGGAAGAAAAAGTGTATTGTTAACATCTGGTCACAGGTACAGAGCAGAAATATGACTGTAAAAGTTTACCGTGTGACTTTAAAGAGCAAATTATGTCTGTCTTCTATCAAACTGGCTAATCAGAGGGCAGATAATGCTGTGACAGGACATCAGTCCGTCACAAATATTTTGTCACGCAGTTGAACACTTGTCTTGAGTGCAAATAAAACCATCTGCTTTCTAAGTGTTGTGTTAGATTTGTAGTCAAATGGTCACCATCCAGCCAATATAGAGCCTGACCGATATATTGGTGGGACTGATAATTTAGGCCAATATACAGTAGATATTTGGGGACATATCGTATTGTGTGCCGATATAAGCACTTTTAATTTTCGCCTCTAAAGTGTTGTGAACCAGTTGTAATTGTGCAATGTATCCAGCAGAGGGTGGATAAAAACTACTTTCAAGTCATTGCCATTTACTTAAGTTTCACTTTCACATTCAGTACAGCTGAAGCAGGGAGCAATCCTGTGTGTAGCGATTTTACTGAACGAAGCATGGTACATTTATTGTAACTGATTTGTCAAAATAAAAAATTATAAAAACAATATACGTATTTCGCTTCAATCCTCCAACCCACTTCTCATTAGTGATGCGCCTCTCAAGTTAGCAAGCTCACATGTAGATAACCTAGCATAGGCTATCGTCTTGTAAAACTTTATCCAGAACAATAAATCTAATGTAGAGGTAAAATATATCAGTGTTAATGTTTTCTTTGTCATCTTCAACAAAATGCATTTTTTGTCTGAAATCTTTACTTTTCTGCAAAGAAAAAAAAACGTTGCTGTCAGTACTAATTAGACCTTCACTATACATGACTCACTGTTTAAACAATGAACAGGAAAGGGTGTTTCTTTGTTTAATTTATATTTATGTAGCACACTTGATACCTTTATGGTGAATAGTGGAGGACAGAACTGTGAATGCACATTAAGAAGACTGTTATAACCAGTGCACCTCTTGTAAATCTAGTGTGGGACTAATTATAGTGTGGATCTGATTTGCTTAGCTTCATGGTTGCTAACAGCCACACTAAATAAACAAGCCCTGCTCCACTTGCTGTTTTCTTGGATTCTTGGGGGTGGCCAAAGCAAAAAAAACTTTTTAGCCATTATATCGGTTATCAGAGGTCACCTTCTCCTCCCAATATCGGTATCGGTGATAGCCAAAATTTCCGTTTCGGTCAGGTTCTAGCCAGTAATGTAAAGACAGACACCCATTTTTTTTTTATTATTTTACAGAAGGATTTCATTTTTACATCTGTAAACATCTACCCATCCATTATCTTTACTCGCTCTTTCCTTTTCATGTCACAGAGGTCACTGGTGCCCATATCCAGCAGACTGTGCAAGAGGCAGGGGACACCCTGGACAGGTCACCAGTCCATCACAGGGCCACATACAAACGAGATGAACAACCATCCACACACACACCTAGCGGTAACACTAGCAAAATATGTTCTTATTCCTTGTATAGTTTGACTTCCCTTTTTACAAGTACAAATCTTAGACAAAGTATTGCCTACAAAATGCACAAACATGAATTTCTCAGGCTTTTTATTTCCCAAGATAGTTGGGCCTAAAAGAAAACTACCAGCTCTGATTTATAAGCATGGAATCTTCATGAACCAAAATTGAGCCCATACTGCAAATCAGCCCTAGAATTGCCTCTAACAGGTCTGCAGAAAGCAGCGAGGAAACAAAACACTTCTGACACACTTCGATGCACATGTCCACTACAGCAAAGCCAAGTCAGTTGTTTGGTCTGAGGTCAGAGCTGAAGATTGACAACGACTCCCTTTTACTGAGACCAGATGCCATCTAAAGTATGTTAGTGCACAAAGGCTTTTACTCAGAATGCATCTCTTATAGGGAAAAAAATCCTTTCCTAGAATATCCATTTTAAGTCCACTTGTGTTTTCAGCTGGGTGGAATTGCTTGGCATCAAGACAAATATTTTCCACAGCTGGTGAAAAGTTAAGGAGACCTGTGCATCACATTTCTTTAGGCTTTATATAATGGACTCAAAAACAATCAAATAAGATTCTCTGTGTCATGATTGGGTGGTGGTTGAGACCCAAATGCAAGCAGGACTCCAACGACGTCACAAAAAGATGTTTTAATCACAAAAAAAGCAACAATAACATATAATGCTGTTGAGGCAGCGATATTACTTACATTCATAGGAAATACCAAGGCACTAGGAAACAACCGTGAAGGTGCAGCTTGACACCTAATGCTCCCCTGCCTAAGATGCAGGAGAGCTCAGTATATAAAGGAAAGTCTCTAATTAAACCCAATATGCAACACCTGAGAGTCATTAACTATCTGCACCAAGCAGGGCAGGTGCAGATCCCTACACTCTGCTTTTAAAATAATGCTCAAAATTAAAGTCAGAGCATATATCTACTTTATACAGCACTGCAATCGAAGTATGTAAATGTGCAGGAAAGATCTGTAGTCAAATCAACAAACTGTGAGAAAGTCATTCCCACTAAACACCGACACACATTAACAAAAGTATTTGTCCGTATTGTTTTATACGTAATCATTTTAATGTAACAAGCTGTTTGAAATATTCCCTCACTCACTACACCATATAGCAGGGAGTGTCTGATGTTTTCGTATTTCCAACACTACTTGAATGCAGTATCCTTCATAAATGTGTACAGTGTTCACAGTCCGATGTAACATAAATAGAGATGGTTGTGTGTAAAAAATCCCAGTAGATCAGCAGTTTCTGAAATATCAGACCTGCCAGTCTGGCACCAACAACCACGCAAAATTCAAAGTCACTTAAATCCATTTTCTACTCCATTCTGATGCTCGGTTTGAACTTCAACAAGTCATCTCCACCACGTTGCCTAAAGGTGTTTAGTTGCTGCCATGTGATTGGCTGATTAGCTGTCTGTGTTAACAAACGACTGAACAGATATACCTAATGAAGTGGCCAGTGAGTGTGAAGCGAAGGAGTGGACGATTTGAACAGAGCCTTAGATTTGGAACAAGTTACTTTGTAGAGATGTTTTCAGTTGTCAAATCTTTGATTCCACACATTTACCATAGTGGTAAGTTTTACAAGTACAAGATCACAGTAAGCCCAAAAGTCCATATTAGAAACTTGGATGTGCCATTTCCAGCTATGAGATGGGTAATCAAACATGTTAGACAGTGATGCCAAATATTTTTCTTGCTCTTCTCTCCTCTCAGGAGCTGTGCTTCTTCCCTAGTTCTAAAAATACCACAGTTTTTTTCATGACAACAACACAGAGTTCGCAACACGATAAAAATGAACTGAGTTTGAACTTTTATTTTTACACAGAGAAATTTGGTGGTTTTATGTGTTTTGCTTTTGTTTGCAGAAATGCACAGAATGATGGTTTGCTATATGCATTAAGTCATCGGCCTCGTGCAGAGTTGTTTGTCTAATGAAGATATCAAACACTGTTTTAAATTCTACAGGACTTCTCAGACAGGAAATCTCAGACACAGTCTGCTGATCTCAGAGGAGTAGAGGTGCTTGTCCCGAGTGTCCCCCACTGTGGGAAATGACCCATCTGGTCAGTGTTTGCACATGTAGGAGAGTCGGTGAGCTGAGCTGCCAGGTACTAATGATGATGGATGGAGGTGCAGCCACCATGTTGGAGGGAGGTGTTTAGATACCACATGTACATGAAGAAAAAGGATAAACAGAGGGTGAAGTTGCTGATTCAAAGTCAAGGAATAAATTCTGCTTATTAAAACTACTTTGGTTCTTTGTGTAGCCATATTTAATGGCAACTGGGACAAGTGCATTAAAATTTTATGAACAATATACGCTGCATAGAAAAATAAACTTGCAACTAGATTAAAAGAGAAGCAAAGAGAAGGTGAGAAAAAAAGAGAACAGTGGCTTTACAAAAACAACACATTCACCTTTCCTCGTCAAATCAAACCCCACATTTTTGAGACTCTGCCTCACTCGTTCTAACTCTAAAACAAGGCATCACCAGGCATTAATCTGCCAGAACAGTTGAGTTCATATGCAGGTGAGCATCTCCCCTCTACTCATCCCACCAGAAGCTGCTGGTCTGACTACAGCTAGGTTTTACTGCCCTCTATGAGCAATGAGATGAACTGACGAGTCAGTATTACAAAGAAACAATATGAACTCGTGACAAAATGGAGTTGAATAAATCCTGACAAAAATCAATCAACATATTTACTTCAAGTCTGCACTCACTTTAAAGCTGTGATGTTTTATTCTGTTAAAAATCAAACAAAAACTAACTTAAAACATTTGGATCTCTTCTAGATCTTATTAGTCTAACACAGGACTTATTCTACTTGAAATAAAGAAACATGCTGTATATATGAGTGTGGTTTGTAAAACCATGTTAAAAAAAATTCAAACTTGTGAGGATTTGTTTACAAGAAGAGAGAAGCAGTAAAAAATCAAGTTACTTAATTCAACGATGATACAAAATTATATGGTTATGATGATTTTCCATTTATATTAATATTTAGTACAAAAAAACAGTATGACAAACTCATTTTGTGATTTGTTTTTCCTAAAAAATACTACATGGTTAGCTTTTGAGGCTTGAACCGATTGGCAAGACAGAGGGATCAGGCTGGAAAGGATGTGCAGCAGGTTAGGCTTGTTAAAGATGGGAATGGTAATGTTCTAACAAGTGAGGAGAATGTGACGAGAAGATGGAAGGAGTACTTTGAGGAGCTAATGAATGAAGAGAATGAAAGAGAAGGAAGAGTAGATGTCATAGAAGCTTTTGAGGGTAGGGCTGGGCCACATCTGATCATTCACAATAATACCGGTAAAAAAAACTTGCCCAAGAAAATCAATTATATCATGATATGCTAATTTCATATCGGAAATATGTCATCCCACTATGCAGTGGATTACGCTCACATGGGTCATGCAGCAATATTCAAGTTGTAAAGGTGAAGGCATGAACAGAGACATCTGAGCTGCCCACTGTTTAAGAATGGGGAGGTGACACAGACACATCTGAGCTGAGCACTGTTTGTGCTGACAGTTTTCAAGCCGGTCAGCATGAGGGAAGACGTTGCCTTTAGCTTTTTAGCTAGTGTGCTGCTTACTTGGAGCTACGTCAGTGAAGACGGGTTGGTGGGGGGGGGGGGGGTGCACGCAGTTCGGTTCGGTAGACTGTGCACTCGGTTCTGTTGACACGGCGGGGCAACACTGACTATGGTCAAGTCGGATTGCGGATCCTTACCTGAATCTGACTGTGCACTGTGTTAACAGCAGCTGGGAACAGTGCAGCTCAAACCTCGAGACCAGCTACTTTCCTGAGGATCAGGAAATTGGAAGTGTTGGAAATTGGCTGATGGCTGTTCTGATCAGTAGTCCTTTCAGTCAGCATTTCTTTTGTTTTCAATATTAGTCACAAATTTTGGAAGTTATAGAGCATTTAAAGGCAACATATTTTTGTTGTATGTTACATTTATGCTCAAAAGAGCTTAAGCTTTAATTTTATTTACCGTAGTTTTTTGGGAACTGCACCTGCACTTTAGTTTTTGTGGTGGTTTTTGTTGCTTTTTCAGTCTAAATAACAGAAGGATCATTTTTATTTTTATACTTTGAG